TTACTTTGAGAATCCCGAAAATCTGGCATCTCTGGCCGAGGTGGTGAAGAATATCATGGAAAGTCCGGTTGAGTTTTGCAAAGCACTGATCCATCAAAATGAAGATGATACGAAGCAACTTAAAAAGAATGAACCACAACAAGAAAGCGAGCGAGCGGTACCTGGAAGAGCAGTTGAACCAGGAAGCGTCGATAACAACCAAGGAAACAAAGAAATTACGACAGATACTGTGTTGCGCAGCCCTCAGCAATGTGGCAACCTACTTCCAAATTATAGATACCATGACATGCAAGATATGTACCTCCAAGTCGGCAAAGAGTTGGTGGAAAAAGCTGTAAACGGAGATGAAATTCATGATCCTCTTGAAAGATCCCTGGTAAAAGATTTCAAAGAAATGATACAAAGCCATAATCTCCAGACTGAGCATTTCCTTCAAATGTTGAGAAGCGGCTGGTCCAATGCTTATTTCAGGATCTGCCTCAGTACCGAGCTGGAAATGAGGCGCCGAATGCTTGATGCAATCCGCGGTGATGTCGAAACGTGGAAGTACTGTTTGAGGCAGGAAGACTTAGCGTCAGGGAACGAAGAAGCCATAGCCAACCGAATGCTGGATCCATCCAATGAGGATCGTTTTGACTTAAGCAACATAGTTCCAGCTGGTGGCCTTGGACAGTACCTGCGCATGTTCATCAATGGTCTTGACCACAGGACACCTCAACCAGCACAAGTGCAGACGACCCAGGCTGTGGATGCTATACCTTTAGACTGAACTGTACTATCAATAAGGGAAGTGACTTTGTTTTTTGTTTATTTTTTTTTAACTGACTGCGTAAGGTTGCAATGTACTTTTGTTTCTTAGATGACGCGCGTTCATATGGAACTTTAAGAAGCAGAAAAAGAAAGCGTTTTGCTTCTTCGGAGTCAATCCTACCATCTTCGGCTTGGTTCTTAGGACGCTTTACTGCTACAGAGCTTTAGTAGACTTATGGCTAGTGTTGTTTTCTTTCATAGTTTATCGCAATTAATGGTACGGGTGGTTTGAGTGTACTCTGCATAGGGGTAGTTCTTTTCGCTCCTTTTTTTTTTTCGATTACATTTGAACTGGTTGCAATTGTTATTAACTTGATTGCATATTGGTTTATTCCATGTCTGCATATTCTATATCTATCAACAACTACACCAACTGATCAATGAAATTAGAGAAATGGCTTTTTGGTAAAACCAGGCAAACTCACACATTCACACAAGGAAAAGAAGAGACAAAGAACCAAAGTACAGAAGGTGATCGCACTGGAATAAAAGACTAAATTACCTAAATTTTATCACCCAATTTCAGTTGCTATTTTGTTTTTCTCTCATTTTTTTATGCATTTTTTTAAAAGCTAAATATTTGTGAAAGGAAGAACTGTTTAAATCTGTTGGGATTCTTCACGTGAAGGAAAGCGCTCTCAAAACAGCAGACTAGTAGGGTATGAAGTAACTAAACTTTAATTTTCAAAACGACTAGCTAGGAGTATTGAGACGATTACACAAATATACACACACTTGTAGTAAAAAAGTGAAAAAATGGCTATCAAAAATAAGTATATTTTGAGCTGTTTCGAGGAAGGTTTTCGGCAAAATGGACAGAAGTGCACGCGATAATCTCGAATAGAAATATGGCTATCCGGTAATCGACGAATTTTAATAAGTAAAATGAATGAATAAACTCATCAAATCCGCTGTGCCTCATCCTTACGATGACGTTCTCTCAGATTTCCCTGAAATCCTGAGGTGAAGGAACTACCATCAATACCCTTCGGGTATATTTCGTGCACTTTTTCGCTTTTTTCCTTCAACCTTTCTCGAAACAGCTGTTCATTAGTAAGACATCAGTACATTTAAGTAAATACATTGTCTTGAGGGTCTCAAAAATAAGACTATATTTAGTGTTCTTCAATAACGTTAGGGTTCATGTGTAAATGTTCAGAAAAAAACTTTACTACTAATAAATTATGATCTCGTCGCTGATGAAATTAAAAAGACGTTTCAGGAATTGTTTTGCATATGTACATCTTGTTTGCTGGACTGGTGACCAATCAGAGAGCACATCAAAGTAACACGAAGCCATTTCAGGATTTATTTCAACATTCACCAAACCACTCAAAGACAACACACCTCAACCTCATTCCAAGGTTTCTCTGTTCCTTTTTCAAAGGAAGGAGAGGAATTTTTCGGATAAGCTTACACAAAACCTCACCACATATTTGTGACAAATAACACAATCTTCTGATTGGTTAATAGCAATCAGCAAGTCTTTGTGACTGACATTCCATGACAGATTGCCATATTCCAACCTGTTGCACACTAGGCAAGGACACAATTATCAAAAGTAAGGTGTATCCTCTTTCTTCATTTAAATTAAGAGTGGTTATTCCTTTTTCTTCTTAGCATCTGAAGTATCTGCCTTTTCAGCTGGTTCTTTAAAAAGAACAGCAGCCACAGCTTTCTCTAAATAGGTAAAAGGGTCACTTGTGTTACTGAGATACATGAGGACCTGAAGAAATGCTCCCACACAAGTTATGCCCAGAAGAACTTCAGCTGTTGTGAAGGCCACTATGCGCTTCTGTACCACAATAAAGAGAATACTTCCAACAATTGATAGTTTGGTGACACTGAAAGAAATCAAAACTTGATAATCAGGGCATTCAGTGACAAGCACTTGCAAATTAAATTGCCAGATCCCATTTTCATTGCTGGGTGAGGACAAGAGGACAAGGATGGTATTTGGGGAAAGATACAGAAAATCACAAAAGGGTGAAGGAGAAGAGACTGGGGCAAAGTGAGGCAAGTCCACAAACCTATCCCCAAGTGAGGTGAATTACTTAATAGATCTGGGAGTTAAATGGTTAATCACTCCTTTCCCCCACTCGTTTCCTCTACATCTATCCCCCTCACCTCTGTCCAGGATCAGAGACAAAACAATTAATGGTTATTCAAATAATGTTTACTCACAATGATGGGTACAGCGCTTCGTTAACAGCATCCACTTTTCCTTGAGCAAACATAACCACAGGTCTTAAAAGTCTACTGCCAGCTCCTGAATTAATAAATAGAAAGATATTTGAAAAAAAATTGTGTTCATTGATTGATTGTGTATTGTAATCATATGGGTGAGAGTGATTTTGAAACGTTCTGTTGTATGCGATCCTGAGTGACATTTTGAAGACCTGATTGTCCTTTTTGTCAGAGCATCCAAAGATCTTATGACTCTTCCACTCTTAGGAGTGACCAAGACATAATTTCTCCTTACAGCATCAAGACAATATCAAGCAGCCAAGTGATAAGAATATTAAGAAAAAGATTTCAACTAGAGGATTATCATTTGATCTAAAACCAAATTCTCAGAACAAAATTTAAAAGAAATGTATTGCAGATAGTAAAGAGAATTTATGTTAACTAAAGATATTGGGAGCAAAAGGGTTAAGTGTACTAAGGGAAAAATTCAGAAATATGAAAGCTACTGTTGCAAGAAAATTGTGTGCAATTAACACTATTCCAGTCAAATAATCAGAAGCTGAAAGACTGCTAGTTCAGTCAATGTGCAACATTTGAAAATCAAAATATGCTAAATTATTAATTACTGAGTGTGAGTAAAGATGAGTTAACAATCTGACAATCAAAACTAGATAACAAACCTTTTGCAGTTCCTACTGCTATCATGACCAGCCAAGCATCATGGTAAAGTGTTGATGATATCTCTACTCCCTTGAGAATGTTCTTTGCTCTGTGGGCCTCTTTGACAACCAGAAGAGCTATCTACAAAACATACTTTAGATTAAAGGGGGAAATTTTCAAAGAAACAGAGGTGCTGCATTGGTGGGAGAGTATAACAGGGTAATTTAGTATTATCTATGAGTTGATACCATAAATTGGCCAACAGAAAGAGTTTAAAAGCTGAGGTTTCCAGCTTTAGTCCTTTGTCAGGGCAAAGATACATGAAGTTAGGTTGGTGAGAGGCACTGTGGGATTACAATGTATGACACAAGAACAAAACAGTCAAAGATTTAGACAGGGTTCAAATTTAGGCCTACAATCCAGAGTCCTTAGTACTAGTCAGTAGGCTGCTTCATCTTCCACAATTGATAAACAAATAAACTATTGAATAAATGACAGCTACATAATGGACAAAAGGACCAATGAAGAGTGCTTAACCCTTTAACTCCCTTGAGTGACCAAGACTGAATTTCTCCTTGCAATATCAATACAATATCAACCAGATAAGTGATGAGAATAAAGAAAAATATCAATTTGGAGATAATTAGTTGATCTAATAATAAATTCTCTGAACTAACATTATGAGAACTGTATGGTTGACATAAGGAGAATTACAAATTTGATCTGAGAGTTAAAGGGTTAAAACACAGACATGCATGTGAATATGCAGAGGCACAGAATAATAATATGCAACACTTTAAATACGCTTTTCATTAGGTTATTGTTTTGCATTTGCTTTTGTGGGTCAAATAATTTTTTCGTCACCATTTGGATCTGTTCATTCTTTTTTTTTCTTTCTCTTCAAGTAACAATATAATTCAGCCTTTAACTCCCAGGAGTGATTAACATGTAATTTCTCCATATAATATCCACATATTAACCAGCAAACAGGTACTGAGAATACTCATATTTATCAGGTAGAAGTTTTTATCTTAATCTAACACCAAATTCATATAACTAACTAACAAGGAAATGTGTAACAGCTGGAGGGGACAATTAACAATCAGATCTTGGGAGTTAACGATCAGTCTTGTGCTAACATAATATTTTCTAATAATTTAGAAACTGTTTGTCAAATTAACTTACCCACAATGGCTTCAGCATAAAGACCTTGGTGAACAAATCCAGAGGGCAAAAGAATACAAGATACCTTTATCAAATCAAGAAAAATTTATAATTTCAAAACAAATCATTTGTATCAAAAGTTAGGAGAACAAAACTGCAATTTTCATAAGAAAATGACTTTTAATTACATTCATACCAAATGACAGACAGGATGGCAATTTGTTCCAAATCTGTCAGTGGCGACAGCAAAGAGTTGCCCAACAAGAAGTTTGTCAAAAAGGTCCCAGCAAAACATGTCAATATACTGGAAACCCAGGAAGACATTGGATGGGAATAGGCAAAGGATAGTGCACCTGGAAAAATAAAATACTTGATTTAATTATCCTGCCTAAGAAATTGTTGTTCCAGGTTTAATAGTGAATAGAAAGTTTTCCAGCCAAGTTGCCAATTTCCAAACTGATCTCCAATTCTTTTCCCTTTAAGCCTTAAATCACTGATATTTGAGTAGCTTGCGGTATTTTATCTCTGTTTTCCACAAGTTTCAGAAAAGTCACTGGGAAGGCAGCCGCGAAGCCCTTTTAAGCAAAGGGCGTGGCGTCTGGAGTTTGAGAAAATTTTCTTTCCACTGGGAATGGAAAATAAGAAAAAAAGAGGAAAGATTTCTCCTGCGCCAATATCTCAATTTAGTCTAGTTGGAAGTTTTCATCTCTATTCGATAGCAATTCTAAAACATTGATCGTAGCAGTTATCAAGAATACTGCGAATTCATCAATAATATTACCTTCTCCCATGCGTAATTTCAAGTTCATAATAATGTAGTGGACACACTGTAAAACTGGCAACATTGGAAGCTTAGCCAGCTGCTCAGCATATGAGTCGAAGATTTCGTAAAACTGATCCATAACGACGACTAACAACCAGAAGATTGCAGTTCAAAAATGCTGCTAATAACGAAGTAACGCTAAAAGATTATGTTTGGATTACAGGATTAAAATAAATAAACTGATCAATTGAGTCAATATGGTCAGCGGATTAACTCGAACCAATCCCTCGCTAATAAAGAAAAACAAAATGGCCGACATCAATGACGAAGACTTGATGGAAAGTGGCTCTGAAATATCAGATGACGAGGTGAGATTTTGTATTTTGAATAGCTTCATGCCAAAGGATAGGTTCAAATGACTCATTTAAGTTTTCTTTTTGACTGTTTTAGCTTCAAAGAGATTTTGCAAGCGGAAAACTTCAAGTGGGTTTGAACAGAATTCAGTCCCAAACCAAGACACGTGCTCTGTACAACAATGTCGTAAGTTTAAATTTCGTGTTCATTTTGTTCGTATAAGTTTTTTTAAACGAAATTTAAGTTCTTGAAAGGTTTTCCAGCTAAAGATCTGTCCGCTTGGTGGCAAACTAGCCACATAAGTGTGAATACAACGACCGACCATTTAATCTTTTAACTCACAAGATCTGATTGTTAATTCTCCCCTCTAGCTGCTACACATTTCCTTTTAAATTAGGTAAGAGAATTTGGTGTTAGATCAAGAATAACAACTTCTTCGTGATAAGTTTAAGTATTCTCATAACGTGTTTGCTGGATGGTGTATGGATATTGTAGGGAGAAATTACCTCTCAATTGCTTCTGGGAGTCAAATGGTTAACACAAACTTATTTACACTTGCACAGCCTGGCATGAAGCAAAAACTGGAGCAGATCGCTCAAGAGCTTGAATGGGTTGAAAGAATGGATGTCACAGTCACCAGAGAGGAAGATGACGAGCAGGAAAGTTTAAAGACGCCTACAACATCCACAGTTTCCAGTGAGAAAAGTATCCATGATGACTTCCAACGAGAAATGAGATTGTAAGTTAGTTTTAGCATTAGGAAGATAAACTAGTTTCACATGAATAAAGGAGTAAATTTCTAAAGAAACTGAGGTGCTGTGTCAGTGGAAGAGTATGACAGGGTAATTTATCATTATCAACTGAGTTTATAACATTTATTACACCCATTTTGAAATCACTGGTGGTCCCTGTAATCTGATTGGCTCTAATTGGTGCAATTTATTCATGGATCGCACCATTTTTTGTTTTAAATCACATCATTTTCCCAGCCAATGAGGAGGCTAAATTGACAACAAAACAACAAATCAGAATTCAAGGCTTGTCTAAAGTAACCAATCTAATTGCAGGAAAATGAAAGACAAAGAGTATCATGTGGCAAAATTTCAACCTTCGTTTCCAAAACTCTTGTTTTTTTCCCCCCAAAAAATGGATGAATTTAATTTTAAACTAGCTCAGTACTGCATCAATAAAATATTTGAACTGACCAAGTCCTGTATTTGGTTGATTTCAAAATGGATGTAATAAAGTGGTAATTGTGCCATGCAATTTTGGTCTGAAATCATACTTGCTATTTCAAATCAAACTTGCACTTTGCGCTCGTTTGATTTTGAAATCACACATATGATGTCAGCCCAAATTGCACTCCATTCAGTTCAATTACTATTATAATTCAGGCACTGTAAAGAGTTACATAGCTGATGTTTAGAGCAGTAGCCCTTCATCATTGCAGAACACTCTCTCCAATGAAGGGCTAATGCTTTTAAGCATTAGAACTAAGTTTAATAACTAATTAGTCATTAAACCCCAGCTTTGTAACTCTTTACAGTGCCCAATTTACATCATCAACTCAGATGACAATGCTAAATTACCCCTGCTCCAAGTAAACAGTTTCATATGAAGCTAACAATGGTTATTGTATTTTAAGCTACAAGCAAGCACAGGTGGCAGTGAATGAAGCACTTTCTAAACTGAACAAACTTGGAGTGGGAACCAAACGACCTGAGGATTACTTTGCAGAAATGGTGAAAACTGATGATCACATGCAGAGGGTAAATTGAAAGATTATTCCCAGATGTACAGTATTAAAAAATGATTGACTAAAAGGAAAATGGTTGACATGTCACCCTGCCAATTTTGAAAATATTCCTTTGCAAGGAAACAAGCACAAATTGTTTAAGATGCCATCCGAGTTAACCTTTTACTTCCAGAGGTGATTAATATGTAACTGTGGAACACTCTAGCCTGCAGTAATTGGCGTAAGCTGTTGCAGAGTCCCTGCCTGTGTTGTACCATTTACATTTTTTGTTTTATCATTTTACATTTTTTGTTTTATTTAATATTAAGTTGGCGAAGATAATAAAATAACTTCTCCCTGTAATATCGATACATTATTCAGCAAACAGGTAATGAGAATGCTCAACTTATCAGGTAGACGATGTTATCTTGATGTAACCTCAAATTCTCACGACTTATTTACAAGGAAATTTGAAGTAGCCATAGGGAAGAATTAACAACAGATCTTGGAAGGTATTTAGGGTTAAACTATCCTCTTTCTTTGTTGTTCTTTTGTTTTTAGGTAAGAGCAAAATTACTGAGCAAGCAGAAAGCCATGGAGAGGTCTGAAAAGGCAAAGAAACAGCGAGAGATGAAGAAATTTGGCAAAAAGGTATGGACTCTGCATGATGAACCCAAAATCTTGCAATAGCACTTGAGGGAAGTAGCATGTTCATCTGGAGCTGATCCCCATTTCCATTGCTTTCACCCTTTACACCTTTACACCTGAGCATCAGTATCCATATTCTCAGTACATTTTGTTTGATCCTAACAAGGAGAATTGGTATAATGATCAAAGCTTCCTAGGCTGGCGATCATTTCCTTTCTTCTCATGATCTTGATAAACCCTTTAACCCTTAAGGGTGACTAACATCTAATTTCTCCTCACAATATCAGCCCTGAATCAAACATTAAGGTCAGGAGAATGAAGGATCTGATCACTGACTTAGGAAGCTCTTGATTGTTAGACAAATTCTCCATGTCAGCATCTTAAGAAATGTTTAGTGAACAGTATGGAGAGTGTACATACTGATGTTAGGGTGTAAAGGGTTAATGTCTAAGCAGTATTTCTGTGAGGAGAAATTAAATGCTGGTCTCAAGTAGGGTTTAAAGAGTCATCTCTATCTTACTTGACAAAAAAATTTGTTACACTGCTCACATATCTCTCCTGCTCCCCCCTCAGCATTTCATCAGATTTCTCTACTAACTGGCTGATACCCTTTAATACTCCTGGGTTAATCCAGGGGTTGTGGGAAATCTGATTTCAGATCAGAAAGTGTTAAAAGAAATTTCAGTTTAATTCCTTTTTCCTACAATGTAATGATTTGATGCTCTTAAAAGGAATACCCAGAGTTATCTGAAAAAGAGCTTTTGAACAAAGGAATTAAGTAATTGGAATTAAAATTTTACCCTGGGTCAGCTCCGATTGTCCATCAAACAACTGGCAATGGATCCATTTGTCCGAATGGCAGATAACACTATCCAATGGATAAATCACTATCCGGTGGATAAGTGTTGACAAAACATACTTAGCAGTATCTACCATATCATGATTTATCCATTGGATAGTGTTATCCACCTTTCAAAAAACGGGCCTGAGTGGAGAGGAGGATTGTGAAAGTTTACCTCCTGCCCAAGAAAATAACATAATGGCCTGGCTGGGCCTTAGGCCCAGACCTTTCGACCAGGAGTTCAGCACAATGATTGTTCTGCAACTGTGTCTCCCACTGAATTATCCTGGGTATTGGAGGTAAAAGAAGGTTTATCAATTTATGTTAAGTGAATGCAATGTATTTATTAATAATTAAAGAGGGGAAAACACTTTTTTTTTTATTAATAGGTCCAACAAGAGGTTTTGCAAAAGAGGCAGAAGGAAAAGAGAGAGATGATGGAAGCTGTGAAAAACTACAAAAAACGTGAGTTAAAGCTATCATCATCATCATCATAATCACATGTTTATTACTGTGACTTAATTAGGAGTCTGGATGGGTTCAGATTGCCACCTTCCAACAGACTCCCCACAGCTGCCCCCCTCAATGAAACTTGGGAAGGAACTGTTGAAAGAGAAATGAAGAACGTAGGGTGGACATAAGGATGGCTTGACTGTCCGACAACCAACAGAAATCAGTGGCATTCTCTAGCTGAGGCCTTATCTGCTTGGAGGCACAGAGAGGCTTTACTAATTGGAATTTCAGATTTAATGTATTTTGGGTATTTTTTGGATTCTATTTGAAGTGGACTCTCCACCACTCTCTGACTAATAAATGAAAGAAAATAAATGTTTTTAACTTCTTAGGTGGCAAGAACACCCCAGTTGATGCAAAATCAACAGCAGGAGGCCCTGATGAATTTCAGATACAAACAGAGAGAGAATCTTCAACCATAAACAAAGGAAAAGTCATTAAACGGTAATCTCTTGTTTTTAATTATTTTTATGATTCAAAGTTAATAATATGGCATGTTACAATGCATTAGCTGTAAATCTAGCAGAGCAGTGATGCTGGAGGAGAATCCTCAGAGACACCAAGGATTGTAACCCTGCTGATATTAACGGAGGGGAGTTCTCTGAACATTGCACCATCTTTGTTGGGAAAGATACAATAATTCTGGCAGTGGGGAGAGCATCTGTCTTCTGCCTTTTTTAACTTGGACTGGACTCTTGGAGTACTGAAAAAACAATGGATGAAGAGCTGGTTACATTCCTCTTTCATTTTATTATTATTTTTCTTAATACTTTTTTTTAAAATTTATTTGGGGCAGTTAAATGCAATTTAATGGAGTTAATAACAAAGAGCATCAGCGTTCTCTAGTAGACAGCGGTCTTTTGCATATGCGCTTGCGTGGGAATTCCACGTTCTCTTCGTTTGAGGCGTTCTTGCTTGTGCTTTGAGTGTAACTTGCAGCGTTATGAGGAGTGGCAGCTCTTCGCCAAGGCAGTTTTCCCCACCCTTCCCTCCCTCTTTCCACTGTTTATTCAGTGTGATACAGTGTTCCCTTTCCTGTGTGGGGGCATATGGCTGGGTTGCTAGGTTTTTCCAGCCATGGGAGATGTCTCAATCCAGGAGCTGGCTGCCAATAGTGGAAGCTCCCGGATGTTTCAGGCACTTAACCTTCCCTTAGCGATACAGTTGTTATATTCAATATATGTGTGATTCCAGTATAAAATTTTTATGTTTAATTCTACCAATAGCGGAAGGAATGCAAAGAGAAAAAGGAAGGTACGAAAATTATTATTGTTGAAACTTTGACTGTTGAAAGGAACTTTTTAAATTGGTAGGGCAGTTAATATTTATGATAAATCAATCTGCTGTCTTGTTTCTTGAATAACCAGGATTCCAAATACGGTTTTGGAGGATTAAAGAAAGGAATGAAGAGAAATTCCAAGCAAAGTTTTTCAGACGTGAGTTCGTTCAACTCTTCAATACACAGTAAAGCGCCGAGAGCAAAGGCTGGAAATGCGGTAAGGGATAACGGTGGTAGAAACTATAAGCAGTGTGTCTTGTTGTATTCGGTGTAGCAACACAGACGTAAAGCAACTTTTGACAACTGAGTGGCAAAGGGAATTGCCATCGTCAAAGGGAAGGGTTTAGTTTACCAGAAAAAGGTTACCCAAATAAATAAACTGAATCGTTCGTAATTTTGTTCCAGTATCAGCAACTAAGGTGGCAGCTTTTGGGTGCGATTGCAGAGTGTTTGCGGGATTTCTACCTCGACTGTGTACTCTTAAATATTAAAACTCGGGTTTGTGTGGGCGGAGAGAAACTTGCGGCGAACTAGTATGCCATACAGGCAACATAATAAATCTACGGTGTATATTCCACGAAAACCGGCATGAACCCCAGGAATCTGAGATCACCGATCTTGCAATTATTTTAGATTATGAACATTTAGATTTGCGTTTTACAAGGAGCGTAAATGTTTCTGTTTTGTTTAGGGAAAGAAGAGAAAGAACACCCGACCTGGAAAGTCTCGGAGGAAACAGATGAAGAAATGAATATTTGGAATTTGAACTGACGAGGAGAACAATTCAGCAAAAAAAACAGTGCCAGAAATGTTATTGAATTGCATACTTTAACCTTGTTACATTGGAGCGGACAGAGAGCTAACGTTGTGTGAAGGTAGTCTCAGACATTTCCTGATAGAAAGTGACAAACACAACGTCATAATGGTGAAAGCCGAAAGCTTTAATATTGGCTCTCATGGTCGGTTATCATTGCAACTGGTAATTAGAGCAAATTCTTCCGACGAAAATCAATGAAATGCTCCTAAATTAGATTTCGCAACAAGCGGATTGAAACAAACTTGACGTCTTACCTGTGTTTATTCCGATTCAAAATAATCTGTTAATTAGTGTCAAGCATACCGTCGGAAGTAAACAAATTCTCGTTAATCACATCCTCATCAAGACATCAAACGGTGTAAACACTCAGTCATGCAGAAGTGAACTTGCGAACTTCTCGATATTTTTTAAACAGGTAATAACCTTTAAACCCCTAAGATTGACTAACATCTTCTTTCTCCCTACAAATATCACCCCTGAATTACATATTAAGGTCACGAGAATTAATCAAATAATCACCAACTAAGGTTGATTGTAAAACAAATCCTCCTTGTCAGCACCTTAGGAAATATTTGGAGAACAGTATGGAGATACCTTGTCTATCAACCAATAAGGACTAATTTGTTGTCCTAATTAGTCATCTTTGTGAAAATTAACCTAGGCACGAACGACGTGAATGACGCCAAACAGATTCTGATGTAGCCGACCCAAGTGTTTTGATTAGTAAACTTTAAGCTATTAATTAGTACTAGCTGTGTTAAAGGCACTACTTACTTCTTTGTTCATGATTAATTTTCTTCTATAGTAACGAACGTGGCGTCAAACAGATGTCAACGTAGTTCATAAATTTTTTTTTGGGCTAATAACAATCGTGTTATACTCGTTCAATTACAACTATTGGTACCAGCAGTAAAAAAAGGTAGAATTTCCCCCTCCTTCCTTCAAACCATAATTATAAATATACATGTTTTAATACCGATTTAAAAGACGGCTGCAAAGTTTCCACTTCATGTTCCTTTTGTCAATTAGCGTTAGTTACCAGCACGGTAATTACAATTTGTTGATTTATTTCTGCACGTGACGCTCCAGTGACAACTTATTTTTATTTGGTTCACCATTTGAACTCTCACGCATGACCTTTTAATTATTACAAATTGTGTCGGAATCGGTTTTCTTCAATCGTTAATTAACTTTCGCACCAAACATGCAATTAAACGTTCAAACAAACTGTTTAGAGGTTATTATGTTCACCGCTAATTAATACTAATTGTGTAAGTATCAGCTTTGATTCAGCCTGTTAATCAAATTTCGCACCGAGCATCAACCTTGACGTCATACGCTCTAGCAATAGCAAATGAATAATTCTTTTCAATCCGAACACCCCT